CTGACCTTCGAGACCAGGGCTATATTTATTGGCGCCTTCTCTCAACTGATCCTGTCACAGCTAAAGAAGTAGTCTTGTCTGAGAAGTCACTGAGTTCTGAGGAGACAGATCTTATTGAGCCAACTCTATTGGATGAGCTAACCTGCCACATTGGTTCTTTGGCCTCAGCGTACCATAAGCCGCCCAATGCTTTTGTGCAAGGAAGTCATGGAATCCATCGCAAACACTTGCCAGTACACCATGGGAGCACCGATGCAGGTGACAGCCCTGTTGGTACCATTGCCACTAACCTGGAACAGCCTCAGGTTACCCCCTCCCAGGGTGACCTTCTGGGGCATCTTTCAAACCTTGACCTTGGTCCCCCAGTCAATGTGCCACAGGTATCTTCCATGCAGATGGGAGCAGTGGATCTCTTGGGAGGAGGACTAGAGAGTCTGGTGGGACAGTCCTTCATCCCATCATCGGTGCCTGCAACCTTTGCCCTTGCCCCTACTCCTGCTGTGGTCAGCAGTGGTCTGAAGGACCCGTTTGAACTGTCCACAGGGACAGGCATGGCTCCTGGTGGATATGTGGCTCCTAAGGCTGTCTGGCTGCCTGTGGTAAAGGCTAAAGGCCTGGCAATTTCAGGAACATTTACTCACCGCCAAGGGCACATCTGTATGGAAATGAACTTCAGCAGCAAAGCTCTGCAGCAGACGATAGACTCTGCAGTTCAGTTTAACAAGAATAGCTTTGGTGTCATCCCCAGCACCTCTGGCCAGCCATACACCACTGACACCAGACCAGAGCACTGATGTCTCCCTGCCTCTCAACACCTGGGGCCCAGTCATGAAGACGGAGCCTTTGAACAACCTGCAGGTGGCTGTGAAAAACGATACTGATGTCTTCTACGGCAGCTGCCTCATCCCACTCAATGTGCTCTTCATACAAGAGGGCAAAATGGAGCGCCAGGTCTTCCTCGCAACGTGGAACCATATTCCCATTGAAAATGAACTTCAGTTTCAGATTAAGGAATGTCATTTAAATGTTGACACTGTTCCCAGCAAGTTGCGAAACAACAATGTTTATACTATTGCCAAGAGGAATGTAGAAGGGCAGGACATGTTGTACCAATCCCTGAAGCTCACTAACGGCATTTGGATTTTGGCCGAGCTGCGTATCCAGCCAGGAAACCCCAATTACACACTGTCACTCAAGTGGAGACCTCCCGAGGTCTCCCAGTACATCCATCAGGTCTACGACAGCATTTTGAAAAACCAATAGACTGGTCTGGTGCCCTCTGGCCACACTGTGATCGGTGCAGGCCAAGAACTCTTAACTGGAAGAAGTTGTTATTGCCATGTCGAATCTGAACCCAGACACCCTGAGGCCACCCGCCAAGGCAGTGACTGGTTTAACCTGTGCTAACGTGAGGGCAATGCCTGTTGGAGAGTTTTAGCTTCCCGTGAACGTCTGTAACCACTGCTCCAATCACCTCCCGCCTCGGGCCACCTGCTGCTCTCTGTCCTTACCTGTGGGCTTCTCCATGCTGCCCTTACAGTGGCTGGCAGTTTTGAGTGTACTCTGATATTCTGCAATCAAGAGTTCATTTCAAAAGCAGAAAAAGACAAAAAAAAAATACTAAAGCAAGGAAAAGTGTCACTGAGATGTCAACTGCACTTTGTTGTTTTATATTTTTGTACCTATGAGAAACTGAGGGAATGGTGTGTAACTGAGAGAACTGTTAAAGCAACCACACGGTCCTGGAGGGGGAGACGCGGTTTCTTGCCACCCTGTGGCAGCCTTGTTCTTGATCACTTTTTTCCTCTCCAAACTCCTTTTCCCGTGATTCCTCCTGCCCCTTATTCTCATCTCATTTGATAATCTGCAGCTGGGAATAGTGGTCTTCCTTGAATGGTGCTGGAGGGCTAGGAAATGGGGCTTGATAGTACCGAGGCGCCATCCAGAACACTGTCAAGGCTTTGGAGGGAGGCAGATCCTTCTATAAGAGTGGATGATTACGACTCACTTCTCAGAAGCTGTGCTCAAGTAAGTGTAAAGTCAAAGACCAAGTTGACAGCAGATGGATCTAGGAGAGAAGTGACATCCCAGCCCAGGCCAGGCTCCTCAGAAGAAAGCCACACTAGGCCTATGAATAGTCCCTTAATGTGGAGGAAGAGACCCCAGGACCCCTTGTGTGCCCTTGCAATCCATGCATACACGTGTGGAGTAAACTGAACCTCATTTGCATCAGCATGTGTGGTCTACCATCTCATTCATTTCTTTCATTATTTTTATAAGACCTGAATCAATAGACCACACCAAAAAGTTCTGAACCAGATGATAAGCATACTCAGAAGTCTGTGTCCTTCTGGGACAAAAAACAGTGGGACAAAATCATGTCAGCAGCAGCTCCTACACTAACCACCAGCTCAGTTTCCAGCTTAGGAAAAAAAGGTACTCATATCCTGGGGCCAGGTTTTAACTCTGAATCCCAGCTCCCTCCTGCTCTTTAAAGGAAGTAACACCATCATAAAAGCTCACAGTTTAGGGTAACAACCACATGGGACTATATTCTACTTCACTGCTTATTGTCTATTTAACTTTAAGCTCACTTTCTTTATTAGCAAAATGGGTAACACCCATTCTGTGCACCTTCCAGCACTGTTACAAAAATAAATAATATATATAATGACACTTTTCAAAGTATATATAAAAGTGCCACCATAATGTTAGATAAGGTCACATATCCACCATCAACATCTATGGAACTGTCAAACATAAACAAAGGTGCAATTAAATGTCATATGGTGATGTTTTCCTGAATAGTGGTCTCTCACACAGGCCTTTTAACTACCAATGCCAAGTAAAACACAATGCAACATATTGGGCTATTTTTTAAAAACGGTTTCTTCACTTTTACAATATGGCAACAACAAAAAGATTTATTCATCCCTCATTTAGAGTACACAATCAGATAGAATTTGATTGTCACCATCATTATCAATCACTGGAGTGATTGATATCTGGAGTGGCAAATATTATTGCAGAGGCCCCTGTTTTTTTTAAGACAGATGTTTCCAGGTAAGAACTATGAGACAAGCTACCCTTGAGTTTACATGGAAAAGACTCAAAATCTTGTCAGGAATAGAAAAGCTGAACAGAGCAATAAACTTCAAGAATTTAACTTGGAGAAAATGTAAGGTTTACAAACTCATAGTGGATTACATTTTTTTTTTTTAATTTTTATTAGTTGGAGGCTAATTACTTTACATCATTACAGTAGTTTTTGTTATACATTGATATGAATTAGCCATGGATTACATTTTTATATTATCAGAGTAATAGAACATGCTTGTCAACAAGGGTATTGCCGTAGAAGTTTTGATAACAGGTAAGAACCAGCCTAAGAGATAGATCAGGTGGTTGGTTTCTTTTCTTTCTTCTCAAAGATGTTGTGATGAAATCTTATTTATCATACTTACTAACAATCCTCGCATCCTTTTAAAATCTTGGCCACTGTGTCTCTCACTTTAAATTCTCTTAAAGTTCTCTTTCAATTCTTTTTCTCATATTCATTCCTTTGGTTTTCTGTGAGAGATTTTAGGGCATGTACTCATTTAAAGGCAACACATTTGGTTTTTTTTTTTTTGCATGCAGCACTAACTCTAAGGTCACTTCTAGTTCTAAAATGTATAATCAATGACACTACACGTGTTTTTTAAAAGTCTGATCTGTTGAATTTCTGAGTTTCTAATTTAATGTGTAGACACATGACATTCATCACATCATTCTGACCACTCAGGTCACAGAAGGAGGAAAGATTGTAAAAGGTGCTCTAACTCCCATCATATCATTTGTTGAGCACTTACTACAAGCCAGGTCTGGTTTAAATGCTGTTTAAACCAGCATTCATGTCATCCCCATGAAGCCTTCCAGCATACAGCGGAAGGAATTATTATTGACAGAACCCTCATTTTACAGAAGGCGCAGCTGAGGATTAGAGACATTACGGAACCTGCCCAAGGATATATGCCTAATAGTAAATGACAACACTGGAATGGAATTGGGGCTGCCTGTCTTCAGAACCCCATGGCTCTCTTGGGTAAGAAGTTGTCCAGCCTCAGCTTTATAAAAGCCAGCTTCTTTGCTAAGTAGCAACTGAGGTCAGTAGATTTGATCAAAGAGAAAACATGAAGCCCAAGCAGTTTTTCTGAGTTAATAGGGGTTCTTTTTGTGGTTTGGTTTTGTTTGCTTTGTTGTTGGTTTTTGTTTTTGTTGGTGGTAGTGGTTTGGTTTTTTTGTTTGGCTCTTTTTTTGAGATTTAGACTGGTTAAGCCAAAGTTCCTAAAAAGGGACTAACTCCTTGGAGACATTGTAAGTTTCTTCTTCCTCCTCTCCTCCCTCCTTCCTTCTCTTTAAACCCTTGGGACATCAGCAAACATTTGTCCAAACAAAAACAAGCTCGGATTTCTGTTCCTTCACACTTTAGCTGAACACATCCAGAAATGTTCACAGGAACTTATGTGACTATCAGAGTGACTTATAACAACACAAGCTCCGCGAGAGCAGAGATGTTTTAATATTTTATTCGCTGCAGCCTCTCAAGCTCCTAGGCGGGCCCCAAGCACACAGCAGGCGCTCAATAAAGATGCTCTGATTGGATGAAGCCAACTTTAAGTGGCAAGGGTGAGCCGGCCCTCTGGGGCTCCGGCCTGCTTCTTGATCCTACCACTCCCTTAGAAATAGAGACGGGGTGGGCTCCCTACCTGTTTCAGACCAGGCTCTGGGGTCGGAACCTCCCTCTCCTCCCCACCTCTCCGCAGCTGGAAGCAGCTGCGCGCGGTCTGGCCACCGGCGCTTGTCTGCTAGGACTCCAGGCTTGCAGAGAAGGGCGTCCGAGGGCAGGACAGAGAGTACTCAGGTTTCCGCGGGGCTGGAGCTCCAAGGCCCGGGCGGCGACGCTGGGCCCGCCGGGGGCTCGGGGCCCGCTCGGGGCACCATCAGGCCGGGCTCCACCCGCCGCTCCTTCCAGGGGCTGGTTGACCGACCGGTGTCGCATCGCCCTGAGCATCTTCTCTCCACCCCCAAGGTATAGAGTGGGCTTCTGCGGAGGCAGCGGCGGGACGGAGCCGAGAAGGGCGGGTGGCCAGTGGGTTGCATACACAGGAAAGAAAATGGAAACACGGATGGGAAAAGAAAGGCAGAATGGCTTTCAGAGGAGCAGCGGCCGCAGCTCAGAAAGCTGGAGCGCGCGGAGCTCATGCATCCGGCGTCTTTCCGAGAGGAAAAATTCTGAATCAGAACGGCGAAGGCGAGGCATGGATCGCTGCGTCATGCTTCCCTAATCAGGGGCGCAGGGTGCCTTTTCTAAACTAAAAAAGCCAGAGTTCCTCACCCAAGTTGATGCCCTCGCCCCCTCAGCTCACACCGCGCCTCTGGTCTCTCGGTTAACCTTGCATCACTCATCTGTCACAGGGCGCGTGCAAGGTTGTCAGAACTCTGCCGATGCCCTTAGGAAGTTAGCAGCTGTCAGGAACCGCGGAGAGCGGGGAGAAGGGAATGTGGGCTTTTGTGCATCAGCCCAGAGCTTCTCAGAGTCCTTGGGAAACTCTTTCTAAAAGTTCTTTCTGTAGCAATGAGAGAGAAATGCACTCTCTTAAACTTCTTAGTAAGGTTTTGCCCCAGAGTTTTGTATCTTTATTTGTAGTGGAATCTTCTTATTAAAAGGCCCCTGAAGCTACTGCTAAAAGAAACAGGCGTAAAGATGCGATTGTCTTTATTTCCTGTAGGCACAGAAATGTCACTGAACTTAGCTCAGTGCAAATGTGGGGGGCCAGGTGTTTTCAATGAATGTTTTCTGATTTTTCTAATGTTGCATTTTCTATTTAACCTGTTTCCTAATATAACTTAGTGGGTAGAGATGTGGAAAGGGGGTACCACCTGACTGGTATAGACAGGATGGGGAGCCCACTATTTGTTTTTCATTTGGATCATGACATCTGTTTTATGTCACAATTGAATTGGCCTTTTGCTGAGCAGACATGCCCTCATCTATTGCCTCGTGGCTATGACAAGATAGTTATAAGGTCAGGATTGCTTGACTCCTAGCCTAGCACAGCTTGTTAAACTGCACAGAGTAATATATTCCAAGAAAAGAGCTTGGGGAATAAAGAACCGTCAGTGTGCAGCCCACCCAATGTTTCTGAAACATTAATGGTGATTGTTAAACAGAAACTGAGATTGAGTAGGAAAACCATCACCCACTCCACTGTTCTTGCCTGGAGAATCCCAGGGACGGGGAAGCCTGGTGGGCTGCTATCTATGGGGTCGCACAGAGTCGGACACAACTGAAGCGACTCAGCAGCAGCAGCAGCAGCAGGAAAACCACCGGGCACTTTAAAGAGGAACCTGGTATAGTCCTGTGGGTCCAAGATGCTACGAGGGAGTGAATTTCATGTGTAGTGTCAGCCTGCTTTCTTCAAACCCCAGAGATGGATTTGGGGAGAGGATTGCTGCAATCTAGTGACAAGTCTAGCATCTCGTTAGAGTTGAGCCTGTACCTCTTAACCAAGTGATGGGCTAAATGTGTAAGGTGCAGCAACTGTTCCACCAGACACCAAATATCTCAGTTAACTCGACTGGTCCCAGAGTACAATATGGGGGTTCCCTCTACAGAACCTTTGAAAGCCCACTAGATCCAGTGGTCAGGGCAGTGTCTGGTCAGAGGCCCTAGGTGCCCTGGAAAGGAGAGTCGCAGCTCCCAATCCACAAAGGACAAATGATGGGACATGCCCCAAAGACACTGGGACACTTCTATCTGTCACCATGACACTCCCTCCTGTATGCCACCTGGAAGGAAGCAAGGCTTTCACTTACTTCGCGTCCCACACTCACCCACCTCCAATCCCCTCTGCATTTATTTTTAACACTCTGATCCTCAGAAGTGAAATGAAATAAATACAGTTGGGGGAAATTGGAGACAGCAGGAAATGGGGAAAGAGGGCGGAAGACTTGTTCATGCCTCAGGCCTGAGGAAAAGAAAGAACTTTTGTCAAGAGCCTACTCTGCTTTAAGCAATGTTTGGGTGCTTCATTGTATTAAACCCCCACAAGTGTGATGATAGAGAGTATCATTCTCCCACTTCACCAATGGGGAAAACGTGGATGGGGAAAATGAGGCTCAGAGAGGTTGGTGACTATTGAAGTCACACAGCTAGAAAGTGGCAGGGTTCGGAGTAGGCCCTAAACTGTCGGATTCCTCCAGGAAGGTAGCTTGCTTGACCTGTGAGGGTGGAGGAGGAAAGTCCGCGTGCCTCTGTCACCCCTGTGTGTCTAGCTCCTGGCTACCCTGAAGAGGGAGAACTTGGACTAAAACGATCAAAGGCTGTACCCCAGGGATATAAAGAGATACCTGGGTCTCTTACAGAGGTGCTGGGCCTCGCAGATGGTCTGCTCCCCTTCTCTCCCCATCCTCTATCTCCATGTCTACACCCTCTCATCCCAAACTCGGGGTCAAATGCTAGGGAACCCCAAATGCTAGGGTTCCAGAACCATTGACATGTATCCTTTCTCTCGCTGGGGTACCACCCTTTCACGCCACACCTGGGTTTCTTCTTTCTATCCCACGCTAACAGGATCAGGGATGTTATAAAGATCCCTTGAGCAGTCCTGGTGTTTGAGTGATTCCCTGGGTCCAGCAAAGGGACCAAGTTTCCAGAGCCTTGAAGACAAGGGCTAACACCCCAAAATACGGACTCATTTTCCACTCTCCCCTCATTGGCCGAGCAGCTGCCAAGAACAAAGGCCGCATCTCCCAATACCTGGCAAACAAATGCAGTACTGTCTCACCAATCAATTGCTTCTCTGAGGTGCCCACCAGTGTTTTGGGGGAGAAGCTTCGAGAACAAGTTGAGGAGTGGCTGTCCTTCTATGAGACTGGAGAGATTCCCAGGAAGAATCTGGATGTTATGAAGGAAGCGATGGTTCAGGTAGAGGAAGCGGCTGCTGAGATTACTAGGAAGCTCGAGAAACAGGAGAAGAAACGCGTGAAGAAGTTTGAAAAGGCTGGCTGCAATTGCCCTGGTTTCTTCAGAAAATAGTAGTGCCCTGGAAGAGTGTGAGGGGACAAGTGAAAGACCCAGAAAGAAGAAAAAGCAAAAGCCCCAGGAGGCTCCTCTGGAGAAAGGAATGGAAGACCCATCTGTCTCTTTTTCCAAACCCACGAAAAAGAAATCTTTTTCCAAGGAAGAGCCAGTTAGTAGTGATCTTGAAGAGACAGCTGGCACTGGAAGTCATCCCAAGAGGAAGAAATCTTTTCCCAAAGAAGAACCAGTTAGTGACCCTAATGAGTCAGAAAACAAAAGGGTCCTCAAGAAAAGTGGAAATTGTCTTCCAAGGAGGAGCCACTCAGCAGTGGACCTGAAGAGGCCAGCAAGAGCAGCAGCTCCAAGAAAGAGAAAAGGCTCCGAAAGTTATCCCAGGAAAGTTAGAATGGACATCTTCCTAGTGGGGCATAACTTACGGAGGTATTCCCCATCCCATCCCCTAAAGCCCAATAAAAATTAAAAAAAAAAAAAGATCCCTTGAAATATAACAGCAGAATGAGAATGGTTCAGATGTAGTAGAGGATGATGGAGTATACTGAGCTTCCTTTGGCCCATCTCACTCATCCGCGTGGGAGAGTTTGTGGTACTGAGGAAAACTCATTCACCTAGAAACTAGTATTTAACAAAGCCCCACAGTTGATTGAATAAAGCTTGCCAGTGTGCTTTTAGAATGCTTACTTTCTCATTAACTTATAGGCAAACAATAAAACATAATAATCAGTATATAAATTGAAATTATCAAATTAATCAAAATATGTGCCAAACATAAGCCACTATATTCATATGAGACTATTTAACACTAGCAGATTTTCAGCAATGGACTCTCTTCTTAAAATAAAAAGCTTATAGATTAGGTGGGCGGAGTCAAGTGATTAAAAAAAATTTTTTTTAATTTTAACTGTTTTTGCCAAGAAGGAACATAAATTTTTCAGAAATTTTCTTCTTTAATCTTATTTAGGGTTATACCCCATATAATCCTTTAAAAGGATTTGATAAAAGAGATAAACTAAGGCAAGCTAAAAAGGATATGAGATGGGTTAGAATTATATTAATTAAATTGAATTAATAGCAATATAAATAATTATTGTATGTTATCAAGGACATTTTCTCTAATCAGCATTTTAAGGCAGCTCTGTCCAATAGAAAAATGAGCTACCAAGGCAAACCACATAGGTAATTACAAATTTTCTAGTAGCCACATTTAGAAAGCCAAAAGGAACAGGTAAGATTAATTTTAATAATATACTTTATTTAATCATTATATAAAAATGATCATTTCCATATGTAATCAACACAAACTTGTAATTAAGGCACTGATTTATTTTTTTATATTTAGTCAAATTTAAAATGTTGTGTATATTCTATATTTACAGTGCATCTCAATTCAGACAAGCCATTTTTCATGTGTTCAATAAGCCACATGTAGTTAGTGGCTACTGAGGTGCTAGGGAAAGATCAATTTCACATGCATACTATGCTACTATATTAGATGCTAGGGAAAAAATGATGAATAAAACATGACTCCTGTCCTCAATGAAGGCAAAGTGTAGCAAGTCTTTTGAGTTAGGAATCTTCCTAGGGGGTACAGGACCATTAGCCTATATGTATCTTTCTCCAAATTAGAGCCTCTCTCCTTCCCCAAGTCACTTCACTCCCATCTGTGAGAAAATGAATGTAATACGCTGGTTCTATTAAAATAAGATACTCTACTACCACCAGTCCAAAAATGCTTTTATAAATATATAAACCTATGATGCCTACAAAGTAAATGAAACACCCTCCCCTAGATGTAAGACTTCCCTGGTAGCTCAGACAGTACAGAATCCACCTGCTGTGCCGGAGACCTGGGTTTAGTCACTGGATTGGGAAGATCCCCTGGAGAAGGGGATGGCAATCCACTCCAGTATTCTTGCCTGGAGAATTCCACAAACAGAGGAGCCTGGTGGGTTACAGTCCATGGGGTCGCAGAGAGTCAGACATGGCTG